CGCTCACGCTGCAGCCCTACGCCTCAGGCAGCCATTTTGCGCCGCCCCTCGACCCGCCTTCCTCCCGCCGCACCCGGCGGGACGGCTCCCACGGCAACACAGCCGGCCCGCCCGGCCACAGAGGGAAGGGTAGTCTCCTCGCACCTGGCAGGAGGTCCTGAAACCCCTGAGAGACTGTGACCCATGCCAGGGCAGGGACAATCTTGGGGGACCATGGCCCACCCAGGACAGGTACATGCCAGGATCATGGTCCATGGGTGACCCATGCTGGAATGGGGACATCGAGGAAAAAAGTGTCAGGGAAACTTGAAACAGCAAAGTGCAGCTGAGGAAAAAATAGTAAGGGGCAAAGAACAGCGGAGAAAACGAGGAAGCAGGGTGACAGAAAGAAATGGTTATGTGTGGGATGCCAGGCTCCTGCGCTGTCTGATGCCCTGGGGGAGGGTTGCGAGGGACTGGCTGTAACCTGGGATAAAACTGGAAGCTGAGGGTAAGGAAGGAGAGCAATAGGTGTTTGACATCAGGTACACCTTGTGAAGCAACAGGAAGAATGCTTACTTAAGTGTCTGTTTTCTTAACACCTGAATCCATGATCAGAAGTTTCTCTTAATTAGCAATAAGTGAAGTTAAACAAAAATTTCCCAATGCAAGACTGCCTGGAGGACCTTGCTGGGGGTCTTGCGGTTCGGTACTGTCAAGGGCGAGACTGCAGGTGGGTCTCAGTTTGAGTCCGTGATAGTTGCAGAAACCTCTAGAGCAGTAAATCCGATATCCGCAACAGGATCTAGTTGTGTAAGAAGTTGGAATCCTTTGAATCATCGGTGTAAAAGCAACTCTCATGCAAGTGGCGTATTTCAGGGTCCAGAGAGCAGAGAGAAGGAATGTTTGCTGGAAGACAGTGACGCCAAAAAGTTGCTAGTAACTGCGGTGAAAATTGCCTGAGCAGACATGCAGCGTCAAAGGTGGCAGCTGTAAGAGCATTGCAGGTTTTAGGAGCCTTACAAGGAGAGCAGCATTGAGCAGAAGCATTGCTGCCTTGGGACCTGGTGCTTGAGAGGCCGTTCTTGGGTGATTGATCCTCTGCAGATGTGCCAATTTTACCAGGGACACTGGCAAATTGGAAAAAGCTCCTAAGTGCAGTACAGTCACGACTCAATGTCTGCAAAATCTGCTTTAAGGCGAGCAGCTTAGAAGGCTCAAGCCCGCTTAGCGGTTAAGTGGTAACTTGACTGGGATCCAGAAAGCTTACGATGGCAGGTAGGTGATTCCTGAGTCTGCAAGATCCCACAGCTGTGAGGTGAGGTGGGGTAAAAGCTCGTGACTCCTTTTGTGTACATCTCTGGTGCTACGTGAGCTATTGCGATGCAGAAGAGTTGGAGTTGTCACCCTTTCCCTGAAGAAGAGAAGCTGAAGGCTGGCCGGGAGCCAGACGCTGCCGCCAGTGCTAAGGAGCCTGCCTCCTATGTTTGCAGTTCAGCTTCACGTGCTCTGCCAGCGGCCCTCCTTGGGTTAGCTTACAGCGGATTCTCATCCTTGCACCCCAGCCCACAGCCAGGAACAATGCTGGATTCTTTCTCTATTTCAGACAGCATTATAAACAAAGTGTTACATCAGCTTTCTATCATTTGCTTGTGTGTTCTAACATTCACGCTTGGTGTATTTCGCAGAAATAAGGCTCTGAAATTTCCCTTGGCACTGTTCATTTGGTCTGCTTTCCTTCTTGAAAATAACATCAGTCCATTAAAAATTCTGCTAACTTTCCTCTCATTTTTTTTTCCTGCTTGCTTCTCTCTGAAGCTCTTCCTTCTCTGTGTTGGGTGACACTGCTGACAGCATGGCCACCTCTCCTGTTACTCATCCCTCTATTCTTCAAATCTTATTCTTTGTCTTCAGCTCTGTGAATCCTGGAGCTGCATATGTTGGCAGTATTTCTAAAACCCAGGCTTCACTTTCTGCTGCCCTGCTGAAACTGGTTCCTATTGTTTTGAGTCCCGCACCATACCCTGCCCGCACCCAGCATCACCTTCCTGATGCGCCGCTCTGCCTCGCACAGCTCACTGCCGCATTGAATGCCACATTGATGTGCCTGCTGGCACAGGCAGTTGGCTTGGCCCCTCGCTCCTGGCTGTATCTGCTCACCCACCCCTCTGCCTTGTCAACCTCAGACACCCGCATGCCCCTTTCCTCCCCCATCCCTGAAAGGCTTCCATACTGATGTATGTGACCCCACTGCCAAACTAAATTATAAAGATACTTCCTTGTGCTTTGCTTATCTAATTTAACATGATTTAGAGCCATAAAGATTGGCTGGCTGGTTACTGCACTCTCACTGCGACTGTGGTGGCCATATAACATAAACCTGTCCTCCCTTTTTCTGGTTGTCCCCATTAATTTTTGTTGATTCATGGCGTTGGTGTGCTCAGTGCAATGTCCTTATTTACATACTTGTTTCAGAGGCGTGGGTCTTGGAGTTCAAATTCTCCAGGGCAAGGAATTTACCTCCTGCTCTGCGCACGCGGATCTCTGTGACTGGGTTTTCTATGGTTGTAATGTATTATAACAGAGCAATTTCACTTCTCTGCTGTTGTTTGTTTGAAGTGATATTTTCAAGAGATAAGTTAGGAAAATACTGCCTGAAGTTTCCTGAATGTTGCTGAGCCTTTTCCACAACCACAGCTCTCACTTAGTTAAGTCTTGGAAGGCCTGAAGCTTTCAGCAAACTCCAGCGGTATCTGTAGTTGTGATGGTTTGTCCTGTTATAATCCTGTATCTGCCCCTGTCTCAAGTGGAACTGTAGAGTAGATTGATGAAGATGTTTAAAAAGCCTGTATTTCTCAGAGTAATAACTGCAGTAACTTTTGTTATAGACTATATATGTTTTAGAATTAAACATGATTGCTTACAGGTTCATCTTGCAGCATCTCCACGACTCCTTGCTTGTCAGACCTTCAGATTATTTTAGAATTGGCTAAATTGCAAAAATTAATGTTTTAATTCTGTATTCAAGGTGTCAGGTTTAGGCTTTTCCCTTGTACTCTTTCGTGGAGCAAGAACCAAACTGCATTTTAACTCACGACTTTCCATGTTGTACAAACCTTCTCAAGACGGGAGAGTGACCAGGAGACAAAATTCTTCAATTCATCACCCATCTGAAGCTTGGTGATAGATTAATTTTTTTGGGGAGGGTTGGCAACTTTTTTTTTTCCTCTGAAGTGGGTGGTGTGGCGCTCTCAGAGTGAAGTTTCCAAATCTATAATGTGTGTGTATTCCCCCTGCTTGGAAAACCATATGGCTTGTATCAGCCTAAGCAAGATTTAAGTAACAACAATGGTTTGTGTGTTCCCGCATCATATTTCAGTGCCAAACAAATCAGTTCAGTACTGTGTTTGGCTGTTGGTTTGAAAATGTTTACCTGTAATTTTCAGAGATGGCTTATACTGTCTTTTTCAAAGGTAGAAACAGAAAGAAGTATGTGGTTTAAAGCTCCAGGGCGTGTGCCCTATGTGTCTGATGCTTCTGAAAATCTTGGAGAAATCACAGACCCATTTCATGGGATACTGCTGTGACCTGGGTCTTGCCACCTTTCATTTCCTGAAGCCGCATTGGTGGGGAATGCCCTCGACAGCGTGAATGCCAGCTGCCCACACTGACTGGGGACTGATTTAATTAACTCTAATCCCTAAGGTTTAAAATTTATCTAGCAGTGTGTCAAATGGCTCTTGCCATCCTTCCTTGCCCTTGAGCTCTTCCTGATTGTCCAGTCTGGTGCTGTAACAAATTAATCTCACATGGCAGTGCACGCTGTGCGAATGGGAAAAGGCTGGGCACGAGCTTTGTTGTGATGATATGAAATCACCAGTCAAATCTTCATTGCCTTGTTTCCACAGCCCCATCCTGGAGGCCTTTGGAAATGCCAAGACAGTTTATAACAACAACTCCAGCCGCTTTGGCAAGTTCATCCAGCTGCATTTCTCTCAACATGGAAACATCCAGGGAGGCCGAGTAACTGATTGTATCCTTTGCTTCAGTGGACCAGAAACAGATGGAGTGAGTGAAGATGAGGAGGAGCTGAGAGTGGGTTGGGAAATGCCTCATCACCATTTCTCAAAGGTTTCTTCACTGGGAAACTTAAAGAGGGAAGAAGTGTTTGTTTTGTGGCTCTGCAGCACCTAAATCTGGAAATCTTTTGTCTAGGTACACTACATTAGGTAGGGACATAGTTTGACTTTTCACTTTGGTGATCATAACACTTGATATTTAAATCCCTAGAATTCGCTACCTAGGCCGATCCCTGATGTTGAGTGTTTTTCCCAGAAGATTTTTCCCTTATTAGCTCTGACAATTCATGACTTAGGAAAGTGAAACCAAGCTAAGAATCAATATATTCTGCCCAATATTTGGATGTGAAAGAGAACAGGAATTTAGAGGGTCAGTTACGGCTCCCTGTTTTGGGCTGCCCATCTCCAGTGGACCTTGGAACCCTAATCATAAGATCATAGACTATCTCAAGTTGGAAGGGATCCATAAGGATCGAGTCCCACTCCCTGCTCCTCGCAGGATGACCTAAAATGAAATCATATGACTAAGAGCATCATCCAGATGCTCCTTGAACTCGTAACAGGCTTGGTGCTGTGACCACTTCCCCAGGGAGCCTGATCCAGTGACAGCAAGGACAGGGAAGACTGTATATAGTCAAATTATGCTGTGCCATGACCACTTTCATCTCTGTATGCCCATGTACTCCTCTCCCAAAGGCTTTGATGTATCTCTTGTCTGCATGAGGCAGCTAAAGCTATCCTGGCTAAGTATCTTGATGTTGATGTTCAGAGCTGATGATGACTGCAAACCACACCGATTTCCACTAGAGTAGCAGACAAATGAATTTACTACTGTTGTAAATAACAGGCTTGGATTGTTTAGTCTCTGCTCTTTGTGCTGTTGGTAGATTAAAGATTGCAGTCTCTCGCAGAAGCAATGGGAACTGATGCAAGGCTTGCTGTGTGCAATACAGGCTTCCAGATTAGGGTGGCCACTCTAATCTTTCTAGGTGTCCCTAATGTGGCTCATCCTTTGTTGGGTTACCTCACCATTGTGCAGGTCCTGTGCTCTATCTGACCCTGCCCTTTTAAACATCTCTTTGGCACATAGTATCTCCTTGTGCAAGCAGTAGGGAGGAGGATCCGAGGTGATGGTTGGAACCACTCTTTGTCCACTTCCCAACGCCTCAGTTATTTAATGATCTGTAGCTTGTTACAGGGTTCATCCTAATGTGTCTAGAAAGTTCTTTGCCTGTCATCCAGAACATCTATGCCTATGTCATTTGAACCTTTTCTCCTTAACATGCTGTTCAGATTTACTGGAAAAGGTAGGTATCACCTCTACTGACTGCCGGGTGAGCCTTCTCCTCATAGTGTCGTGGGGCAGTGCCAGTTCTCCTGCTGGATGATGCTGCCTCCGTCACACCACATAGACATGAGCTCTTTAGGTGTTACTACTCCAACTGTCCCAGCTGAGGAAGAGGATGGTGCAAACAATGTTTGTTCTATATTTGTCAGAGCCTGTTCTCCCGTCTTTGATAAATACTGTGTGTTACAAAGAGACTCAAGGAAAAAGCTTGTTACCCCGGGGAAAGGGAGAGAGAACAAGTACCTGGAAACTCAGTTCCATAGAGAGGAATGTGGGGGCACAACTCCAGATGGAGACATCTCTGCTCTAACACAGTTTACTTCAGACTCAGGAACTCACTGGGGAACAGGGCCAGAACTGACAAGGTTCGGTTTGTCCATGCACGCACTCCCTAAGCAAGTTCAGAGAGGTCTGTATGTGTTCAGCTGCACACCCACACGACAGGATCTTGATATAGAGCCTAGACAACACCGTCACTGGAGGATGGTGGAAGAAGCCCCTCTTGTGCATTGGCCCTGGAGATTTACATGCATGTCTTCTCTTTGTCTTTGCAACCAAAAGTTGTGATCTCTTTCTACTGGCTGCTCCTGTGTTCTTTGTTTCAGAACAGAGTGGTACACCAGAACCCCGGCGAGAGGAATTACCACATCTTTTATGCTCTACTGGCTGGTGTGAGTGGGGAGCAGAAAGGTAATTTCATTTTCTGGGATATGGCTCTGTCCTCTTTTCACTCCAGCATGTGAAGCAGGTGTCAGTCAACTATAGCATGGATATTTCAGGTACTTGATATATAACTTTTTCTGAAGGCATATGGTGATTTCATGGGAAACAGGGGAGTTGAGAGAAAGAGGCTGAGGGTGGTGGAAATGCTGTATGAGAAGAGACACTGCAGGCATTCTGAGCTGAAAGGCAAAGTCTGTGCAAAGTGAAGAGGGGGTATAGAGGGATGAGGTAATGAAACTGGCTTGGGGCAAAGGAAGGGTAAAGAGTCTTCAGATGCTGATGGAGCTGTTCAAGGAGTTCAGAAGTTGGACTGACAGACATACTTTTACAACAAACCTTCAGTATAGGTAATAGGAGAGAGAAGACTTAGAAAGACCGTGATGTAGTGGCAGGACTAGACTCAAAACACATCTGGTATGCGAACACAGGATTTATAGGTGGGTACATGGTAGAGGGTATACAGAAAACGTGGCAGCTTCAGGCTGTGGAAGAATCTTCTTTGTAGTGCAGCATCCCCTTAACAACATTTGTGTGTACCTGCCCCGGGAAGAGGTCAGATAGGCAGACAGGGACATGTTACAGGTGCACTCTGGTTTTGAAGGATTGGGGAATTTCTTTATGCCTTTGTTCTGTGTGTGTTCGAATAATCAGATGGCAGATTTGTGTCTGACACAGAGTGGAAGGAAGTTGGGCTTCAGATCTAGGGAGTTCTTGTAGGGATGGCCACGTGGGTCAATTCAGAGATCCATCTAAAGCAAAGGGAAATAGTGGGGACCAGGGTTATCAGCAAGTAGTTAAAGAAAGCATACAAACCATATTATTTCCTTCAGCAGATCCCTCCTATTCTTCCCCATCTCCCTTTCCAAGGTGGTGTCCCAGGCTGCTTCACTTGCCCCATCTGTAGTGTATTTCTGTCTCTTGGTCATCCTTGTCTCCTTTCTCCATAGATCTTTTAGTTCTCCTCTATCCTTTTTGAAATGGGAGATCAAACCTGCAGAGAGTATTTAAGATGCAGGTCTACAACATGTACAGAGACCTAATTCTCTTTTTATATTTAGTTCTGTGTTCCTTCTAAAACCAAAGGACCTGAACTGTGTTCAGTGTTTGACTGTTGCTCAGCACTGAGATGATGTCTTCAGAAATCTTACGGTGACTCTCTGAACTCTGTCTCAAGTGATGATACCTAATTTAGAGGTCATTACTGTATGTGTATAATTAAGACTATTTTTTTGTATACTTTGTGAGATTGAACTTAATCTTCTGGGGTGTTTTTTTGTTCGTTTGGTTTTCCTGAATCAATTCAGTATTGAAATATTCTTCTGTGACTTTGCAGCTTGGGTGTCATGGTTTAACCCCAGCCAGGAACTAAACACCACACAGCCTCTCGCTCACTCCCCCCCACGTGGGATGGGGGAAAGAATAGGACAAGTAAAAGTGAGAAAACTCGTGGGTTGAAATAAAGACAGTTTAACAGGTAAAGCAAAAGCTGTGCATGCAAGCAAAGCAAACCAAGGAGTTCATTTGCCACTTCCCACCAGCAGGCAGGTGTTCAGCCATCCCCAGGAAAGCAGGGCTCCATCACACGTAACCGTTACTTGGGAAGAATAAACACCATCACTCCGAACGTCCACCCCTTCCTCCTTCTTCCTCCCCCAGCTTTAATGGTGAGCGTGATGTCATGTAGTATGGAATATCCCTTTGGTCAGTTGGGGTCAGCTGTCCTGGCTGTGTCCCCTCCCAGCTTCTGGTGCACCCCCCACCTCTTCGCTGGTGGGGTGGTGTGAGGAGCAGAAAAGGCCTTGACTCTGTGTAAGCCCTGCTCAGCAATAATGAAAACATCCCTGTACACATCCCCATAGCAGCTACAGTGGAGAAAATGAACTCTGTCCCAGCCAAAACCAGCACCTTCTCCTGCCTTGAAGGACTGTTTGGATAGATGGGAAGGGACACAGCCAGGACCAAAGGGATATTCCATACCATAGGATATCATGCTCAGCATGTAAAGCTGGGGGAAGAAGGAGGAAGGAGGGGATGTTCAGAGTTACAGCGTTTGTCTTCCCAAGTAACCATTACATGTGATGGAGCCCTGCGTTCCTGGGGATGGCTGAACACCTGCATGCTGGTGGGAAGTGGTAAAGGAATTCCTTGTTCTGCTCTGCTTGCGTGCACAGCTTTTGCTTTACCTGTTAAACTGTGTTTATCTCAACCCACGAGTTTTCTCACTTTTACTCTCCGTATTCTCTCCCTAGCCCACTCGGGGGGAAGTAAGTGAGCAGCTGTGTGGTGTTTAGTTGCTGGCTGGGGTTAAATCACAACATTGGGATTTGACTGCTCTAAATAATTTTGCATACCATCAGCAAGCTTTGTTACCTCATGCCTTCCTCTTCCCTTCCCCAGAGCATTCACTGTCTAAGTGTGGCTTTTAAGGGATATGGAATCTGTTCAGATGCTCTCCCTAGGTTAAACATACACATTGTTTTGGGGGAGTAAGAATGAGAAGGCTGATTGCTAAATAAATTGTTGTCTTTCTACTCCTGCCTCTTTTTCCTCCATTGCAGAGAGCCTCTCCCTCTCTGAGCCAGAGGCTTACCGCTACTTGAACCAGTCTGGTTGTGTGACTGATGAGAACTTGAATGACCTAGACATGTTCAGTAAGGTCATGGTGAGTCCTGTTCTAACTCCTCCTGAACTTCTGGGCACAATCTCATGGGCTAAACGTGTTGCAGGCTCTAGATCTCGCAGAATTTGTCTGCCCTAAGCCAAAATTCGATGTTCAATTAGTCTGAAACTCAGCTCTACCTGCTTATGGTAAAAACAAGGCTCGGAGAGTGGTTTTGGTGTACAGAAATGGGCAAATTTGAAAAAGTGTCAAGAATGAGTGATAATTTAGAATGATGGAGACTTTGGGGAGCATGAATCCCACCACCCACCCCATAATGATTCCTGGGACCCCTCTAGGTGGCCTGGTGCAGGAAACTCACGCTGGCCATTAGAAGGGGAACAGTTTTGGTCTGAGGGTAGTGTTCTCCAGAAATGTTCTGGTGAAGTTGTATCACCTGTGCAAATGGCATATTCTGGAATACCACACAGATTCCAATAGACACCTGTAACTTTACCAGAGGTTATGGGTTTAGCAGGAGGAATATGCAATCTGTGTTTTGTTTGATAAGTGGTTATCAGCCTGAGGGCTGTAATAATGTAGGTGAAACCAGATAGGCAAGGGGAGAAGAGTTGGCTTAGGATTTCAGTAGCTCCTGCTTAGGTGTGATTTCAGGGAAGGAGATGTCTCCTGTACAGCAGAAGTTTCAGTGGCGATGTGGGATTTATACTTCAGCTGAGGAGAGGCCTGAAGGAAAGAAGGGAGCTAAAACCATGGAGTGCCTCACTGACAGGGCGAATGCATGAAAACTAAGTCCTACCTCTCAAAGTCAATTTATGCCCCAAGAACCCTGGCACACATGCGTTCACTAAGGCAGAGGGAATGTGCCATGCTTCCTCATTATCTGTTTCTAACCTTCTAGCAGTTAATGGTGAAAGCCCGGATTTAAACATTGCTGCATCAATCTTTACTTCTCTAAACTAGATTAAATTAAGGAGGTTATATGGATCAGAGCAAATTAAGTAAATTATATGGATCTGTCCTTCAGGGAAGACAATAAGGCAGAATGTGGAAGCAGTGCAGTAACATCTGTAACCTGCACTGCCAGCGTTCAGGGAAGGATTTCCTCACACAGGCACAAACACACACATTCTTCCTGTGACACACAGGCAACGGCAGCAGCAAAGTCCAGCGTGAGGGTAGGGCAAATGCCCACCTGCCTTTAGATGGGGACTATCTAAAGGGTAAATGAAGGAGAGAATGGGAGCCTGCACATCATTGACAGATATACAGCTGAGAGAGGGGATGTGCCATCCCCAGTTTCATTTTGGTTCATGATGACTATAATTCTGTGGTTTACATCTTGCGTGGGCTGGGCATGAGTGTGGTGGTTGCAGCGTACTGTGGCTGTACGTACAGCCAACCTTAGCTGTATGGTTTTGCATAGACTGCCATGAAGGTGATGGACTTCAGCACTGAAGAAATCAGAGACATCTTCAAACTTCTTTCTGGCACGCTTCATTTGGGAAACGTTGAATTCATGACAGCTGGCGGGGCCCAGGTTACAACAAAAGTGGGTAAGTGGGACCTTTGCAACTTGGTAGGCCATGCCAAACCCCATAAGGCCCCCAACAAAGCTCCCTCCGTTGTCCTTTCTGCCTCTGCTGTACTGGTCTGCAGTGCCTTTACCATCAGATTCCCTGCAGTTTAACCCTGTAAAAGCAATACCACAGGATGCATGGCTCCAGAGCACCGGTATGATTTAGTTGAGCTGTGGCCCTGTTACCCGTTTGTTCTCCTGGATACTCTCAGACTGAATCCACAGTCTCACAGTTTCTCTTTTGGGTCGAAGGTGCAGGAATAAATAGGAACAGGGAGCAGTTTGAGATGAAAGTAGTCTGTACAGACTTTCCCACATCTTCCTTTGAAGCATCTGCTAGTGTGCACTCTATACAGTTATCCAGTCTGAGCTGGTCTGGTAAAGTGAATCCATAAACAGATGGCAGCAATACATAGATGTTACAAGTCCTTCAAGTCTTTAAGTTAATTGCCTCTCTTCTTGACATCGAGGTGTAGCAATCCCACGTTCAGACTGCACTATTGTGCCTTTAGGAAAACATACCTTCTCACTCAATAAATACTTTGCTGGTGCTGAGCTTTACACAGGGCTTTGCTCTTCCTGTTGTCAGCAGAAAGGCTGTCTTACGTGTCCCACTGTGGCCTGTAACAGCTGCGGAGCCTGCCTCAGACTGGATACTGAGCTTCCATCTTTGGGTATGCCAAAGAGAATTAAAAAAGGGGAGTGTGTTTTGTTGTGGGACTTAGTCACTTCCCTGGGATTTCCTCACTGAGCTGCAGACTATGGATCCCCCGTGAGTGATGGCGATCCATGCAGGAATAAAATGTGTGCCCTCCTTTGTTATTAGTGCTGAATATTGCCAGTGACCTCCTGGGCTTGGACGCCTTCCAGCTTTCCGAAGTACTGACACAGAGGTCCATGATTCTGCGTGGAGAAGAGATCAGCTCCCCTCTCACTGTGGAGCAGGTAAGTGTCCTAGTGTGCGCTATTGCTTCTGCCGCTTCTGCATTTCCAGGCCCTCTGTATCCCTCTTGTATCATCCATTCCACTTTAGGCTTTCCTTTTACATCCCTTAGGTGCTCAGCTGTCTCAAATATTTTGCCCTTACTGGTAGTTCAGGTCCCAGTGTTGACTCTGCTTTTTAGGCTTTACAAGGGAGTTCACTTGCAAATGGCAACGCACAATACTGATTTTAGCCAGGAATTGGTCATGCTCGTGCCATGCAGAAGGTACATCACATGCTTTGTAGTCATTGCATGTGTGCATGCTTTTACCTTGCAGAACTCCCTCGTTACGCTGCGTTTACTGGGAGATAAAAGCTTGCAGACAGTTACCACGAAACCTTTAGATGGAAGGTTGTTACCCCACAGTATTTTCTTTGTTTATCCATACAACAGAAAGGAGGACCAAATAAACTGATACATAGTTCTCATCTACTGAATCTGTTAGGCATGCTGGAGCCAGTCCTGCTTATCTGTTACATTTCTCTGTGGTTCTTTACAGTGTTGTGCCTGCTAACTTTAACTTGTGGTGTTGCTGATCACTTGAGGGCACTCTTGGTGTTTCAGGTCCGTGCACACATAGAAAATCTTCTCTCATTAATAAAGTTCAAGACAGTGGGAAGCAAGAAATAGTATTACTGGGATGGAATAAGCATTGTATTATAGCCAAATGAACATCTGTAATGGAAACGTTGTGCTGGCATGGACTGCACAGGGTTATCAATCCAACCCCTACACTGGCAGAGAAACCAGAGTTACTAGGCTCTCTCTGACTGATGTCTATCTAACTTTCCTTCAGATTTCCCATGGAAGGAATTTCACAGCCTCTTTAAGTATCCAGCCCTAGCTGCAGCAGAGTCTGGAGCTGAAAAGATTTTCCTCATATTTAGATTACCTTTGACATCCCAGCTGTCCACCTTATAAGCTTCCGCTTCTGTGAAGTCTTTCACGTGGTGTTTTCTTTTCTAAGCTAAACAATCCAGTTCCTTCAATGTTTCCTTATAAGTAATTTTCTAAACCTCTTCTGTCTCTGTTTTCCCACATCTCTTAGGAAGTGGAGTGCCTATAACTGGACACTGTATTCAAGCTGGAGTCTCAGGAGGGCTCATTTCAGCAGAGTAGTTGCTTCTTTTCTTGCTGCGAACACACCTGCTAATATATCACAAACTAAGCTTGGCCTTGAAGAAATGGTATCTTTTTTTCATAGCCTGTGACCTTTTTTTTTGCAATAAAATTGTGGGATAGTTGTTTTTCAGCCTATAGTCTGTAGCAGATACTGTCAGTGTCCTGTACCACAGTTCCTCTGCTCAGCTGTCTGTCCTAAATAAGCTGCATCTTTCTCTGTCAGTGCACAGGGATGGATAACAGTGCCAGAGACACTCCATGCAGTCCAGAGAAACAGTGAGCAGTTGTAGGATTTACAGGAGTCTCCCCGAACACAGCTTTCCCTCGTAGTATAGCTGTTCCTGACATGTGCGAGTGCTGGACCCTACACTTACTGCTTGCAGCCCAGTGTGTTACTAAGACTGCAAAGATATTGTTAGTGCAAGTGGATGCTACTACTCAGCTGTCTTCCCTAGTGAACCTGTCGCACTTGACACGGGGCCTGTAAAGACTGTTCCCATTTAAGCCCTCATGTACTGTGCCCACCTATTCCCACTTGTTGTCGCAGGCACGCATTGCTAGAGCTGCCAGGGATTTCTCCTTGCATAACAGGCTTGTTGCCCCTCTGAGCTTTGACATTTCAGTGGGCTGAATGGATGAACTGGTCTGAAGGCGGGCAAAGCTGGGAGGATGAAAGGAGCCTTTGAGAATCTCATTTGAGCCCTGTTGTGGGGAAAGCAGCTTTGCTTACAGCTGGGAGGGGAGGTCCTGTTCCTGGTAAATGAGTCCACCTTACTGTGTAGCCAGAGACACCGCAGAGGCAGGGCCTTGAGGGCATGCTCTGTCCCAACTAATAAGACAGACCATCTGAGGGAGAGAAGAAGTGCCCAGAAAAGGCATGTGCACCCGTGTTTTGAAATGTTCTCTTCTGTGGAGAAGGGAGGTTTCTGTGCATCCTAGGCCTTGGGCTGCTGGAGAGGAGATACTACCCAGGAAAAGAAGGGAGGAGAAAACCAGTGAGATTGGGTGAAAAGGAGGATCTTGCAGGCTGGGCCTCATGAGCTTGCTAAGAGGGGCTGGGAGGGTTCAGAGGCAGTTGGCCTCTGCTATTAGCAAAGCAGAACAGGAAAGATCATGTTATTTGGGCTTGCAAAAGTGACGAGGATGAGGGTGCATTTAGATCATCTCTGTCATTGCTGGTCAGGCCTACTGAAAGAATCGCCCTGGTGTCACAGGCAAGGCAGTAAACCACCTACAGTTCATCTAGATATTGTGGTTTATTTATGAAACGACAAGATTATGGTTTTTACCCTACTTGATTATTTCGCATACTTGCATCCCTCAGCATTATGTTCATTAGATGTCAGCTTCTTTTCCCAGCAGGGAGATTGCTGCTTCTTCAGGAGAGTTGGGTAGAAAGTTTTGTTGGCTCATGTTGTGAGCTCCTTGCAGTTACCAGTATCAGGAACTACCAGCCAAGGTCCTTGGGCATACCCTGACATGTGTCTCCATGTGTCTGATCTCCAGGATCTTTCCCCACTTCCAGCATCTTTCTTCCAGTCAAGATCTTTGTCACCTTCTTTTCTGGCCCCTTTTTCCACTCTCTGGGATCATGTCTTCTTTATGGGAACCCTGATTTTTGGCCTCCTTTTCAGAACCCCAAGCCTTGGTTTCCCAGTCTAAACAGTGTATGTGTGGCAGGACAGCATGCCATCCGTCTCTTAATTTGTGGTTCTGTCTCATATCTCTTTATTGGAGGATTTAGGGTGTGCCACTTTTGTTTAGTCCAGGTGTTATCAAAACTTTACAACCAGTCCGTTCCTACTACAGCTATCAAGTAGCCGGCTTGTGCTTGAGATTTCAAAATTTCCTTTTCAGACATCCATCCATATGCTTACATGCACCCAATTACCTACTGTCTGTTAGTGATCACAATTTAAGTTATTTTTTCCACCTCTGACACTTGGTTATGATCACTGCATGGGATGTTGGGTCAGCTCCAGAAAGGTCTCTCAACCCGTGCTCTTCTGGGGTTTGTCTCCTGGCTGTTGGCCAGTCTACCCTGGCTTCCAGTAAGATAGTGCTGTTTGCAGGGCAGTTTTGGGGCAGGGATTTCTGAGGCTAACTTGGTGACAGAGTACTTTACTAATCCTGCACTACCAGTTTTTGAAAAACCGAGCAGACACCCATTTGACAGCTCTACTAGGAGTACTGAACCGAGATACCTTGCCTGTCACTGCAGATGTGGGCTCAGGTGATGCGAATGACTGCTGCGGGCTTAGTCATGAGGTATTTTGCCACCTTCCCTGCCCAGCACTTGTTCCAAAAGATGTCAGTGATTTTTCTACTTCCTTCAGCCTCTCCAGTTCAGTTACCCAAAGGTCAGACATGGTACATCTGTGCGTGGGTGGGCTATTTGCAAACTTGAATGTTGACTGTACATATAAATACTGCACCATACACAACCAGTACAGGGGCTGAGACATCTGAAGAGGAGTGGATGAACCTGAAGTCCCATAGAGCTTCGTAGTACCCCTCATGCCTTCTCTTCTCCCTGTGACTCATTTTTTTCTCTCTGCATTTACAGGCAGCTGACTCCAGGGACTCCCTCTCAATGGCGCTGTATTCCCAGTGTTTTTCATGGCTCATTAGCAAGATTAACACGAAGATCAAAGGCAAGGAAAACTTTAAGTCTGTGGGCATCCTGGATATCTTTGGCTTCGAGAACTTTCAGGTCAGGATTTTGTCTTTTGCAGAGTGGGTTGGTGTTGGAGATGTCAATGCATGTAGGAAGGAACTTAGATAGGTTTGTACCCTATTTATATTAGCGTAGGGCATTCTGGGATTTTTTCACCGACACTTCCCTCTGTGAGTAGCAAGGTATATTTAGCTGCCCATTTCTGCCACCTGCATTCATGTAGGCTGATGTTCAAGGTCTGGTTTGTGACCTAAGCAGATGTGCTGTGACAGGTAATACTGAATTTTTGACTTGTATATAAATTAAATGTCCAACCCCTACGTGCACGTTGTTTGTTTGCATCTGTTTTGCCTTGTGTTGAGAATCACTGTGTGTAATGCTTCTGATTGCAACTGATGAGGTATGTATGTTGAGCAGCTGTATAGTGACTGCTCAGCTATTTCACAGAAGAGAAAGCCCAGTGACCTAACACTGGGAATTATGTTTCTTTCTTCCTAAGAAGAAGAGAAATTTGATTGTCTTTAGCATCCTTTACTACTGTTTAGGCCTACTGAATTAATCTTGCATGAGCTAGTGGACCTCCCCACATCCATCTGCCACCCCTCTCTCTGGCTTTATTCCAGGCCTGGCATCTTCCCCATTGCTTTTACAGATTCCTTAAGAGCCCAGGGAGAAGAACATTAAGTTTTATAATCTTTGTTTCTTCTTACAGGTGAATCGCTTTGAGCAGTTTAACATTAACTATGCAAATGAGAAACTCCAGGAATATTTCAACAAACACATCTTCTCCTTGGAGCAGCTGGAGTACAACAGGTGACAAAGGGAGGGAGTGGGGCCCTTATTGTTTTCATGGTTGGTAGAATGGAGGGCATTATTGCTCCTTTGTGCTGTCCAGTCCCTACTGCTAAGGCAGGGGAAGCGGCTGGGCCTTAGTGCAACCCTGACTGTGGATGTGTCTCTGTAAGCATGGTCCCTGTGCTTTGCCAGCATAGGTCTCCAAGCAAAAGCTTTCTCCCTGTAGTATTTAGAAAGCCCAGATTCTCTCCTGTCTCTCAGCTGAATGGCAAGATCTTGGGCTTTAACCCCTTAGAACACATGGTCACTGGCCTTATTACTGACTTCAGTCATGATTTACCTAAGGTAGTGGTGGTGTTACGCGAGTGGAATCTTGGTGTGCAAAGAGTGAAGACCCTAAAGATAGAGGGATAGATACCCGACAGCTTTGTGTCCTAGAGATTCCTATGCTGTGAAAAGGGCTGTTTTCCTTAGCAAGGAGATTTAAATCAGGCTGTTTCCTTAGCTTAAAGAGCATGGGGCCTTCTGCACAGCTATTTCTCTTCTGTGGGCTTCATATTGCATTATATTTTGTGAAGCACCTGGGATGTTCTAGAGTATTTCTGCTTCTAGAGAAGGCTGCGTGACAAATACTTCAGTTCTTGCTCTGAAACAGAAGCCTTTATGTTTGTGAATGAAGCAATTGAATAGGGTCAGTGAGGTCAAATGAGAGCAGCCTTCTAAAGGGAGACAGTTGAATAGGCAATTCATGAAATCCTACAGATTGCAAAACTACAAGGCTATTTATGAACTCACTTCTCGGGCCAATTCCACCATTGCAGGAAGCTTGTGTTAAGAATGGTACCATCGTGACAAAAGATTTTTTCCTGATGATTACATAGGAGTTTAAGTTCTGTGGCTGAACTTTGGAAGAACAAGAGAATTTTATTATTGACTACTCATGAAGTTATTCTAGGGTGATGTGATTAAAGCTCATCTTTCACAGTAGCAGCTCTGCTTCCTCAGGTTTAGTAAGTAGCTCTGTGTATTTCATCCTTAGATTAGACAAGGGGTGTGTGGCACTAAAGACAATTTGATTCATTTGTGATTTGATTTGTTTCAGAAAACTCTGCTCCAAGGAGGAATCCAAGAGGTTGTTTTGTAAAAATGTATAGCCTCTCTGACACCCATAGTTACAAAAATCTGAAACACTGTGAAATGATATTTTTTGCTGTTAGTGGATAAGATACTCTGTTTCCTTTGGGGCATAGATAGTTCTTTCCCTTCTTCAGAAATTATTCCAGTTTGTTGCTTCCAACTGTTGCACACAGGTTTCTAAATGCTTTGAACCTCCAAGTATGAAGCCTAGGCTGCAGGGTTTGTAGACAACAGCTTCAATATTTTCAAAGCCTTATCCTTCACTTGAAAGGCGTCTGTATCAGAACATCAGTAAGTAGCTTCACACATAGCCTGTGGTCTTCTTTGGATTCCTGAGCAAGAGTTATTCCCAGGCTTCTCTGAATTCTGAAAACAGAAACGGCCTGTATTACAGGAGCATAAGCAGGTGGTGAGAGAGAACATACCAGCACAGATTTACAGAATTTCATGGATGATTTTCAAAGCACGCTTGTCACACTACTGTACCTACATCAGCTCCCATTCTGAAAATTGCAGGGCCACCCTGTAGGTCCCCTGCATGGCAGGCCAACACTTTCCTGGGTCGTCCTCTTCAAAACTCTCCCTGAAAAGTTGCTCCTGTCTCTTCTTCTGGTGGAGCTAAGAACTGTGGCTGGGTTTTCTGGCAGATGTGCTTCAGGCCTGCTTTCCAGATTGGTGGGTCAGCAGTTGACTCGCAGCTGTGTTGCAGACTGTCCCACATCACAACCATTTGGGCTGATGCTCATCGTTCCTGGAAGAGCAGCTGACAGCAACTAGTTTCTAAGTTCTTGGTGTGGAATTTGCTCAATGACTACAAGATGAGCATCAGTCTGAATCACTGGGATGGAGAAGAAAGGCTGTCTCTTACTTCCATCTCTTTGTGTTAGCAGTGCATTGTGTGTCCTATTCTTTTTCCTCAGCCATGACGAAGCCTAATTCCTGCACATCATCTTGATTCCTGGGACAGCTGTTGTGCTCAGCTGCTTCTGTTCTCCTGCACCTCGAGGCATTGGATCTTGCATTTCACATCTTTGTTCTGTTTGTTCTTGACTGTCAGGGAAGGGATAAACTGGGAAGCCATTGACTGGATGGATAATGCAGAGTGCCTGGACCTTATTGAGAAGGTGAGCAGTTATCTGTGACAGTTTCCAGGGATCACAGCGGGGACTGCTGACTGTTTTGAGACCTTCCCCGGTGTTGCCTGGTTCTGAAAGCAGGTAGTTGCTTGCATACTCTTCCCATTGTGACCTGGCAAAAGTATGTGCTGTTCTAGCCATAGTCCTGGCTCAGTAAAGCAGATCTCTGCTTATTGTTGAGAGTAAGCTTAAGGAGGGTGACGTAATTTTAGACAGGGAGCAACACTTAAGTAAAACCTTAATGTGAATTTTTTGTAAATAATACCACTTATGTTCTGCTTGCTGAATTCATTGACTGGCCAGAATTCTGCTTTCAGCTCAAGCTTTGCTGGGTATAACACAGGGGTTATTGCTCAATGTGCTGTCCGGATCTCCAGTTCTTGGCTTGGTGCTGTGTAGTCAGAGCTTCTGCCGACTGTAAAAGCCCATCTCTTGTTTGGCTGTAGAAACTGGGTCTTCTGGCTTTGGTGAATGAAGAAAGTCGATTCCCCAAAGGCACAGACAACACCCTTCTGGAAAAACTTCACAGCCAGCATATGGTAAGTAAAGAAATAACCTGGCAGGCAAATGATCAGTGTGTTAGCCCCATCAGCATTTCAAAACCAAAAGTGAAGGGTTTGTTGATGTAAAATATGTGCTTTGTGCAGGAAATTTAAAATGCCTTAGGCCTGAACCTGCCAGCCTTTCATAAGGCTGCGCTGATCAAAAGTAACATGTGAAGAACCCTGCGCATGGTCTCTTGTGCATATAGAGAGAGGGAGTGTGCATTCCACAGGTTGTGGGTAGAGGATGTTCGAATCTGTGGCATGGGATGGTTCTGCTGGTCTGTGATGGGACACGAGGCAGCACCCCAGGCACAGGATGCGTCTGCACACTGTGCATGGGTTTCCCCTGCCAGCTGACTCAGAGGAGTCTGCTCCAGAGCACATCAAATCTGTCTCCTGGGGCTGGGGACAGCTTTTGCCTCATGACTTTTAATGAAAGCTCTCTATTGTTCCTAATTAATTAAATTCTTTCCTCCTCTTGTATTCTGGACACGGGAGTAGAAGGGCTTTTTCATGCAGGTCAGAGAGTTATCCTGGGGACACAGAAACCACAGTGAGATCACTGTAGCCATCTCTTACCCTGCCTCTGGTGCAGCCAACACTCTGTTGTTCTTAATAGCAAATAGACTGAAAACAAGGCTAACTAAGCCCTGTAGCATGGACTTATGGAATAATTTACTACTTCAGTAATAACATTGTCAGCTTATATGTTTCCTAGTCCTCTAATTCAGGCTTCATCCAAGCCTGAAGACATATAAATTTGTGTCCTCTATCCAACTTTTTTTTTTAATTGAAATAGGTGCAGATGTTTTCATTTTTCACGATTTTTTTCTGACTCTGCTAGTAATACTCATGTCTACAAATTGGATACAAGAGCAATGACTTCTGGTTGACTATTTACACATAGTTTTGTGGACATATTTCCTTTCTTTAGTCTTAAATTGATGCCTTCAATTTAGTCTGCTGTGGCTTTCCCTTGTATTAGAGGTCAAGGTATATGAGAATACCTGATTTACCTTTTTTATTGCTGTTGGTATTTTGTTAACTTTTAATACAGAACTTAAGAATGTTTTTCATACCTCACTTATTTTTAGTTTTCTTTCTGAACTGTCCCAACCTCTTCAGTTTGTCTCCAAATGAAGAAATTTCAAAGCTCCTCTTTCTGCTGTTGTCTCTGAATCCCTCAACATCTTTTCTCTATTCTTTTCTGAGATAAAAAATCAGACCAGAATGCAGTTCCCTTGGTGAGAAGGTACCTGTGGTTTATTGTACAGCATCATGAGACTGTCAGTATTATTTTGCATTCCTTTATGCCCCACAAAATTTTGGTTGCTATTTTTGGTGGTTTCTGTGCATTGAGTATCCTTTTCATAAAACTGTTCACAGTTCACCTTTGTCTGCTTTGAGGGGAGAGTAGTGGAACCCTGGGGACCTTACAGAGGTGGAAGAGGTGGAGAAATTGGAGGGCAGGGAGGAATGATGAAGTGCTCTAGGTTGCATTTTTTGAAGGCGAAAGTGTTTTTTGTACCAGTTAAAGTGCTGGCTGGAAAAGCACTGGCAGGCATCCAGCCAGTGTTGCTGCAAAGCCTGAAGCACCTTATAAAAGAACTAGCTCTCTTCTCTGTGTTTTCTGGGGATTGCAGTAGGATTATAGAGGAAAAGCACAGTGCTGGGATTTAAGAGAATATGACCTCTGATGCAACTGGGGGGAGGAACAATATAGGAGAAAGAACTGGAAGTGTTGTAGGCATGGATGAAATATATGGGCTTGGTAGAGAGGGAGAGGAGGGTGCCAATCCACATGCACCAGTAACAGTCATGTTTGGAGTGGAAGAGAGGGACTTTGTGGCTGGAAAAAGGTGACTGAATTGGGGAAAGGGAAGAGCAAAAAAATGGGGTCAATATGAAGAGGAAGAAAGGCAATCAAAAAGTTTTCAATAGCACTAACAAATTATCAGTGCTAAGAAAACTTGAAGATGAGGGAGCTGAATTTCTCACAGTATTGTGCAACATCTGACTTAAAATTTTCTTAGTACTTCTGTCTGAGAAGATGGGAAATTATTTTAACTTTTAGAATTCTAGAAAATTATAGGCCTGTAATCCTTATTTCCCTATTGGGCAAATTCACACAATTTAAATGGTCAGTTACAGCAATGGTCTGTAAGACACTGTCCCACACGAGCACTGAGGTGGCAGTTTTATGGTGATTCACGGGACAAGGCTGGACTGTGAGGGGCTTTGAGACTGATAGAATTGTAAAATGAAGATGAAAAGCACTGTAGGTAAATGTAAAATGGTGTGCCTGAAGGAAAACAGTCCCAGTTCCACATTTGAAATGATGGGCCCTGAGCTGATTGCTGCTGTTCAGGAGCAAGATCCAGACAGAGGCTGTGATGGAGCATTCCATGGGAACATCAGCACAGCGCTCAGTAGTAATAAAGAACCCAGATAAGATATTAGAAATTCCTAGGAAAGAAATGGAATAAAAGCAGAAAACATTGTTACAGCGCTGTATAATCCACGGATCACCTGTGCTTTGAACAGCGTACATCACTGGGCCCCTCCACTCAAGAAGGGGTTATATCTGGTAAACAGCAGGTCTGGGACAGCTTCAGTGTCATGGAAAACTATGTTGAAGGGGCCCTGCAGTGTCAAGAAAAGATGACTTAGGGGGGATGCGATGGATTTAAAAGTCACACAAGGCCCAAAGAAGATAGATGGCACTAATGGAAGCCAGGCTTAAAACCAACCAGCTGTAGTTCCAGTTGGTTGACAGCTCTCTGTGAAAGGACACTCAAGACGTCTGCATGGGTTCAGGTGTGTAATGGGCAAGTATTTCAAAGACAAATCCACTTGGGGTTACTAGTTAGATGGAAGTAATTGAAATAATTGGAGTTTGAGAGAGTAATAGGATGAAAGGTATAATTTACGTGCCTTGTTCTTAGTCTGCCCTCATAGCCACTGCTAGAGGCAGAACGCTAAGCTGGATGGACTGTGGGTCTCAAGCACCATGGCTGTTCTCACATTGTTAAAGGTTTTCGTAGAACAAAGAAAGGAAGGGGAGAATGAGAGTAGAACAGCTTGTAAGAGAAAGGAAAAATTAATATTGAAAAAGGGGAAAAGAGATGCAAAGAATGATGAAATACAGAGGAAGACGGGAGATCGGTGTGGTATTTCATTTGACCAAAAAAAGATATGTAGGTGTTCTGCCAAGCTGCCATCTTCCCTGCATCCTGATCCCTTATCCTGCACCACATGGTTTGTGTGGAGCCCAGTCTCCTTGGGTGTCAGACATGCAAGAATTAACATTTCATCCATGGCATGCCTGCCCAACCTTGATGCTGGAAGCCCTTGCTCACATGACAAATGCCTTGAAGGGCTGGATTTTTCCATCTTATTGGAATAACGTATTTGTAATGTAGCTGCAGATAACTACAGCAGATGTGGTCAGGCTCTGCTACAGCTAAGGCCCTTGCCCATCCAGCATTGTCACAGTCATGGCAGAGTTCCTCACTGAGCCTATTTATTTTTACACTGGCATTATTTTTACACTGGCAAAAAGAAGACTTTTTGTTCTTTTATTTCAGAGCAACCACTACTATGTGAAGCCTCGGGTAACAGACCATCAGTTTGGCATAAGACATTACGCTGGGGAGGTAGGTGTTCATGGTGTATCTGTCAGATGCTTGCACTTGGGCTCGAGGTCTGGATTTTAGATTCCAAAAATCAAGAATATCTCTCACAGCTGTGAGTTTTCGCACAGTTAGTGCCCCGTACCAGAGGGCAGGCAGTGTGATGGGCTCAAAGTAGCATCTCATTCTCCAGTACTATATTCTCCAGCTTGGACTTTTTTTGTTTCTCAGGTAACTTTTTGTTTGGGGGATAAACTCTTCTTTACTTCTGTTATTCATGTTGTCTTTTCTTGGACATTCACAAACAAACAAAACCCAAAGTAAAAGTTACCAGGAAAATTTGACTTTTGAAGAGGAGGAAAAAGGCTAAATACCTATTGGAAAAAGGAAAAGGTCTCCAGTCGCTCAAGGTTAAATGCTGCTCTTTGTTGTGGAGGGATATGGAGCAGATGGAGGTGTGTCAAGGGAGGGCACCTGCACAGTAAAAAGGGCTCACCTCCTCCTGGAATCCTGTCTGCGGCACACTGGTGGTTGGGAGGTCATGGCACTGGGTGGCATAGTTGGTATTTCCTGAAGTGAAAGGAGTAGCTCACACCTTGCGAAGGATTTCCCCCCACATTCCCCCCTCTGCAGCTGTTTCACTTGGCTCCTGGTTTTGATTTGGGGGGGGGGTGGGGGGTGTGGTGTGTTGGTGGTGATGGATTGTTTGTGGGTTTGGGTTTTTTTTTTAATTGATAACTCAAAGCCACTTCCTTGCTGGTAACTGTGGAGTTCTGGAGCTCTTTGACCCCAGAAGCCTGCATCTTGGCACATGCCTGTGGTGTCACTGTGTAGCTCTGCTGGAGGCCTTGTACATTGGCATGTTAACGTCCAAGTGCTTAATGATTTGCACTGTTGTAGTGGCTCTGTCTGTGTTGCAGGTGCTCTATGATGTGCGAGGCTTTCTGGAGAAGAACAGAGACACCTTTCGAGATGACATTTTAAACATGCTGAAAGACAGCAGGTACGCCCCCTTTACGCTTGTGAGGCGGCCACATCTGTTGGGCTGGACTACGCTGCGTTCATGTAATAACCAGGCCATGGAAAGCAATTGATTTTGTCTGAGCATCAGGCATCATTCTTTATCATTCTTCTCTTTGAGTGTCTTGGCAAAAGAAAGGAGAGTGGGGAAGAGTCAGAGGAGGCACAGATTTAATCAGTGCTCTTGTTGTCCCAGTTTTGAAAAGCGCTATAAAAGCATGACAGAAATCCCTCCGGGCAATGCTGGTCTTCTACCTCCTCTCTTCTCCCTTCTTCCTCGTACCTCCCTGTCCCAACAATGGCAGATTTGCCCCTGAATGAGTCAAGGCTCTTTGCCATACTGTCAGATGCCAGCCTTTGTACAAAGGCTGCTTGTTTTCCAGCCTGCTTGTTAGTGTAGATCTTCCATCCTTGTCCTGAGCCAGACTGAGCCCTGGCTGTGGGGCCAGGCATGGCCCCTAATACTATATCCCAGTGCTGCTACATGTCCCTATAGAAATGAGCTGACTTTGACCTTGAGCAAGGTCTGGAAGAGAGAGGCGAGGCCTAGCAGGAGGAGAGAGGCATTTAATAACATGACAGACCCTAGAAGTTTTTGAGTAGTAACTACCACATGCCTCTCAGTATGGTGCATGTGTATTGCCTTTGGGCTGCAGCCTGATGAGGCTGTTTCAGAACTGCATCTTCTCTGAAGCCTGCTGCAGTTTGCACTGTGAGCAGCCTTGAAACAACCTGAGGGAGCTGAGAGCGTGAGCTGCCTTACAGGGACAGTGGCACCCGGGGAACATTTTACAGAGGGCTTGAAGCCAAAATTGTGGTCACCGTTGTCCAGTGTAATAGAAGGGCTCTGGGTTTTTCAACAAGCCAAAAAGGGAAATTCTGCTAGAAGCAGGCATAACCGTAAGCTGGCACAAGACATGCAGGAGAGCTTTGTGTTGTTACCTAAGAACCAGCACCAATGTCTAAGGAGTAGCCAAACGGTGGAAGATTGCCCAGAGCTGACCTATGCTGAGGGCAGCTCTGGAAGTCCTCTGGTCACAGAAGGGCTGTGGTTGGAATTGCATGAGCCTGTCATGGGTGCTGGCCATGAGAGCGAGGTCGGGAGAGGCGTGACAGCGCAGTCTAGCTGGAGCACCTTCAAGGTAGTTTCGCCTGGGGGGCATATAGCTCGAGGGAGGTGTCCTAGCCAGTGCAGAATGGAGACTTTCCTTTGTGTAATATCCTGCTTGGCAGTGGGAGATGGGGCTTATGGCTCTGCAGCCAACTGTGGCATACCGGGCAGCCCGCAGGGTCTGGGCAGCCACAGGGAAAGTATTAATTTCCAGCTGAACTGCTTCCTGCTGCCACTCTATGGCACAGCGGGAATGGAAAAGGGGGTGTTTCACACTGGGACGGGGCAGTAACTGAGACCGAGAGCTGTCTTCTCACAGGTGGTGAGTGTCTTGCATCTTCTGTAATTCTTTTCTTCTCCCTTAGGCTGGATTTCATCTATGACCTTTTTGAAAGGGTGTGCAGTCGCTGCAGTGAGGAGACACTGAAGATGGGCACCCAGAGGCGCAGACCAACTGTCAGTTCCCAGTTCAGGGTAGGATGTTTTCCAAGAGAGCAGCAGGCTTCTGGGGAGGAGCAGATGGGTAAAGCAAGGCCTGCAGCCAACAGGAGTCATCCATCCTTATTTTGTGTCCAGCACTGAAAATGTGCAGGAATGTTTTAGTGCATAAAAAAGACAGTGCCACTGCCCCAAGGATTTCTGTCTGGTGTAAACTGTGACTGGTGTAAGACTGAGCAGAGTGGCAGGGGAATGGAATACTTTGCTAAGTAGATGAAGTTCTTGAGTTCTTTGATCTTTCATGTTGGTTTAGTGTTTCAGCTAAGTGTATGTGTCCTTTTAGGCCACATCTTTTACAAGTATAGTGGCAATTCCAATAAAACCATACTGGGGGAACTTGTAGGTATGAATCTCACCCCCCTAGGTTGTCTGCAAACCTTCTGTTAGTTTCACAGTTTTAGTTTCCTATAGTTAAATTTGAGAGTAAAGTTTATTGTAAAAATAACTCAGACTGGCTATACAGCTCTGAGCACAAGGATGGCCGTGTAAAGCGTTTGAGTAAACCAACTGTGTGGGTGTTCTGGTTAGGGAAGGATCTCCTGGGTTATTGAAGTTTTGGTAGGCAGAGTCAAAGGACAGTAGGAGTGGGAGGGCTGCATGAACACCCTATTGCCTCAAATGTAACCCCTTTCCCTCCTGTACTGCCTGATCCTTTGGGTTTTGTCTTGCTGTTTTTTAGGATTCTCTCCATTCCCTGATGGCCACGCTTAGTACTTCCAACCCATTCTTCATCCGCTGCATCAAACCAAATACAGAAAAGGCAAGTCTGTCTTCCAGCAAAATGTGTGCATGCGACACAGACCTTCCTGAGCACTCACTTGCACAAATGCCTGACAGATGCCTCTGTCAGGCTCCAAACTGAGGATAAGAGCAGTTCCCCCTCTTCTTCCCTTTTTCCGTCTGGTTGTTTTACAGTTGAGGAAAATTAAACCCTCCTGGTAATCGGATGAAAAGGCTGCATGCTGAGGATGATATGATATAGCCATTCCCACATCTCTCTGAGCTTATGACACCTGGAAGGTGAAGCAGGCTAGTGCAGAGCCCAGAGCTGTGGTGAAGCAGCAATTGCTCCTGCTTGTGGTGCCTGTAGACAATGTGTTCTGGAATACAGGGCCTGTGCAGTAGGAAGCATCTCCTGCAGATCCCTGGCTCTGAGGCAGTGGGCGCTTCCTTAGAGATTGGCTGGCTCTTGCTCCTATTGTGGACTGTCACATGAGGGTATGCTGCTAACTAGATGGGGTGGGGAGCTCTGGAACCCATCGTTGTCTTTGTCTCTTTTGAAACCGTGTGTGATATGGCAGAGGAAAGGCTGATGAGGGGTTTATGCCGGAAAAGAACTCTGCAGTTTGTCTCCAGTTTGACTGGAGAGACATTGCAAAAAGAACTGAGTCAGAGTTCTGCATTTTGTATGTGTTCATGCTTTGCTGCCGTGATCTGACCATGACAGCAGTCTGCAGACTGCTTTATTCCAGGATCTGCCCAACAACCTTTCGTCCCTTGTTCCGCACTGTGTGGTGTTGTGAGGTTGCTTTCCCCTTCACCCCAACTTCCCGCTTTTTACCTGGCATGCCCAAATATGCAGGGTTGACTTTCTACAGAGAAATGGATGTCCAACCTGTGGCTGTCTGTACTCAGAGAAAGAGTCACTGTTCGAGTCAGCAAAGAAGGAACACCAAGATCGACACTTCCTCTGTCTCTTTTTTTATTTGTTTATGAATCTGGATTGTTATGTAGGCACCGAACCTCTTCAGTCCAGATGTTGTGCTAAATCAGCTCCGGTATTCAGGGATGCTGGAGACGGTGAAAGTTCGGAGAGCAGGTTTCCCTATACGGCGCCTTTTCCAGGACTTTCTCAGCAGGTAATTGCTGTCATTGTACCCCATGCAGTAACAGCCCCAAGGTATAAGATGTATTTATTCCCTCTAATAGTGTGATGTTTTTCTAACCGTGCCCTTATTGCCCATATCATAGACAGATTTGGAAGATGTTTAGGAAACTTGTCTTTAGGGTAATAGTCAGAACAGAAAAATAGCCAGATGTTCCTTTTTTTTTTGTTGTAGATTTGCCACAGATTTGCTTGTGTGATTCTGTGAAACCCAGCTGGTCATAATATGTAAAAAGAAAATATCATACTTAGAACCTTTAATCTTTCAGGCTGAATCAAATTTTAATGGACAGTATAGCTGATGATTAATATTGGAAAGAGTGATTATTTCTTTTAATTAGCTGCATCAAAAAGAATTCTTGAAGTTTAAGGCTAGAAGGGTCCATTGAACATTGCTTCCTTTGTCTCTTGGAGCATTAAAGGCCACCCCTATATGCTTCCTTTGTCTCTTGGAGCATTAAAGGCCACCCCTATACTGAACAAAATAACTTGTGTCCGATGAAAGCGTGTGTTTCAAAAAGTTAGTTGTTCTTTACTGAAAAATGCTGTTGGGTTTGTATTTTATTACTGGGATTGCAACAATAATTGCCAGTGTGGTAGGAACAGATAAAGGTTGGGGGATGGAAATTTCCAAATTGGAAGGCAAACACGAAGAAGGGAGGTCCCAGAGGAAGGAGGACTAATGGGAGGAGGATAATTAGAGTTAAGAGATTGGGGGGAGTTACTGTCGTACATAATCTCATGAGATTTTGTTTGGTTCTTAGGTACAAGATGCTTGTGAAGGGGCCAGGTTTCTCAGACAACAGCAAAGCTGTATGTGCAAGCTTTCTTCAGACCTATGACAGCAGCAAGAAGGAATGGCAGTTGGGTAAAACCAAGGTACTTGATCATTGTGGGGCAGGGTATGGCTTTGTTTCAGCTGCAAGGGAATGCGATTGCAGCTGGTGAGATTCAAGCCAGTAGAAAGGGCAAAGTAGTGATGACCCTTTAAAGACATGAGACTATGCCGCTGACCCATAGCATCTCAAATATTTCCCATATTATGCACCTAGAGATGTAGAAGGCTTTTTGATTTTGTCTGAACTCCTTCTCATTGACCGAGCCAGATTGATTTTGTTGTGTCTGATCCAATTTGAGCATCCAAGGAGAACAAGCATGGATGCTATTGCATGCAATTACAATGTCTGCCATTAACTCTGGCCTCTTGTGCCAGATATTTCCCTCTGTTTAGCTAACCGAAATTCTTGCAGGAGGCAGTGAGCTGCTGCTGGGTATATCTAAACTGTGACTAGGTAGCTAGATCACCAGATGTGTGACAGCCTTCTGCTGTGGAAGCTCAGCTGATGGTTTGTGGAGTTAGCCCAGATGCTAGCATACGTTTTCTAGGAAAAGGTATCCAAATGCTTCTCCTCACTTGCATAATTCAGATTTTGCTTCTGCTTTGGTGAATGTTTAACACTTCTCTCTTGTCTGGTATAGTCTGGGATTCTTTTTTCCCCTTCAGACATCCAGCTGGAAATGTACCATTATCTTTCATTTAGTGGGGAGGGAGCTGAGTGTTTCAGTCTGAATTTTTCCAAGCTTTGGAAACAGCTTGACACAAAAATAGATGTAAGCATTGTGAAGTATCTTGCTACAGACATACGGGAGCGAGAAATTGTCCCTATTGCAACTTTCCACATACTCCAGTAAATTCCTCAAAGAGTATTCCAAGATGGAGAGTGTCCAGTGCAGACAGCATTTCTAAGCAGTGTGTATGCAGTCCATATCCAGAGCAGATGGTGATCCATCAAAGCAACTTGCCTTACATTATTTGCCCTTAAGCCTTCAAAAAAGTAGTTCAAAGTATTTCCAGGGTTTCAATGGAACTGGAAGCGATTAAAATGAATATTCACATTTAATTTGTCCAGGAGATCAGATAATGATATTTGTTGCTTTGAGCAATCATTTCTTAATGAGTGAGTAGACTGTAATGTTTCTTAGAGAGCAAAATCTCTCTCCCCTTCTCAGAGGAGAGGTGGTAGCCAAGTTGGTAGTCTGGGCTACGAACCCTGTGTGACAACCAAGGAAACCATGGACCATTGCTGTGGGAAGGACATATTAACCTGAGGTTTGCAAGGCCTTCCTTCACATGCCTCCACTGATGTTCAACAAAGAAGGTTTCATCACTTAGCCGTACTTCCGCTACATCATTAAAGTGTTCCCCATCCTTGATTTGGTGTCTCCGCACTGGTTCCTGCAAACCAAGAATCATTTCAGTCATTCTTGTCCCTTTGTAGCCAACACTCCTTGGGTGGCTGCCAGTCTCACAGCATCTTAGTGTTAAAGCCTGTGTGGAGTGTGTGTGTGCTGCAGACCTGCTTGTGCCTGGGAAGCTTTAGAAAGGGGTGCTTAGAGCTGGTAAATGTGGAGTTTGAACTTTCTCCCGAGCATGCCAAGAGGTGGAAGATTGCTGAGCTACAGCAAGGGCAGCAGGGAAATGCATGTGAGGACCAAACTCACATGCACATACTCACCGTTTGGAGTATAAAAGGTTATAACCTATATAGCTGGAGTCTAGCAGGGCCTACAGCAAACTGACGACAAGCAGGAAATCTAGGCTGCTTTGAGCCCCTGGCAGCAATAGGATCCCTTTTCTCTTCGGTTCCCATTGTGCATCCTGAAGGATTCACTCCATCTGTCTGTTTTCACACAGTCCTCAACTGCACAAATTCTTTTGCAAGAACAATATAGGTGATAAATTGTGGCAAGCAAAATGTGTTTGTATTTTGCCAAAACCCTGGGTGTACTATGATGTAATTTTTTTGAACAGTTGTGTCCTATAAGATAAAACTTGGCTGAAGAGCTGTATGTGGCATGTTGGTAAACAGCAGTCTCTCTGTCAGGGCACCGGTTCTGTCAGGACTGAATATTGTGGGAAGAAAGAAATGATTAAGAATGGCAATGTTTGTATCTCTGTTTCTTTAAGACTGAGAAGGAAAACTGGAAGGAGTTGGGAAGCAGTTGAGCCACCTTGTTTGGCTGTAGAAGTTATTTTATACTGGGCATGGTTTGGATTAGAGATGTGTGTCCTTGTAGAGGGGAGCAGTCCCATTTGGCCTGTTCCACCCTTGCTGCTATGCTGAATGGCTGGCCAGCCCCTGACTGTTCCAAAGTGCTGTTGCTGTTGCTATTGCCCTGCCAGTTCATTCTTCAGGTGGTGGCAAAGCCATCTCGTTGCTCCCTTGGAGACCCCTCTTGCAGCTCTGCTTTGTGGCAGCGCCTCTAAAAAAGCCTGCCCTTAGGAAAGAAGATGGCAGGGTGAGGCCATGCAGAGCAGTGGAGCAGTCCCTTCCCTGCTGCCTGTATCCAGCTGTTGTGTCTTGATTTTGGATTGCAAAATGCTTTGTCTGCATTCAGGTTTTAGCTGGTAACACAGGCCTGGTATGTTGTGGTCAGTGAAGACAAGAGCCCTGATTTTTCCAGAGGCTTTCAGGTACGTGTGAAGTGAAGCTGCCGGCTAAGTGTATAGGTGATTGTCCTGGAGGGGAAGTCTCCTGTGTGTCCCTGCTGCCACTTACAGGTGCAGCTCTGGGTACCCAGGCAGCGATTCCCAGAACTAACCTTGGTTTATGGAGCCAGGAGTAGCTCTGAAAAAGGTGTGACAGGACAATGGGGATGTAACCTAGGAAGAAGTATAAGGGGTGGGTGAAGAGCAAGGCTTATAGAAGGGGGAATACTTCCTGCAAAATGAATGGAAGGATAATTATATCCCTAGCAATTGTTTGGAAGAGGAAGGAAAAGACTCTGTGAATTAGTGCAAGGGATTGTGAAGCTTGGGAAAGGAAATAGGGGAGGAAGGGCAGGATGATCTTTGTGTTTTTCATCAAGAATAG